GTACCCCATGGCATTTCCAACTTCACAACTAGCAACGCATGTGCAAATCTTGCACTGCCTGTTTGTAGAAAGTGTCACCATTTTGAATTTTATTTTGACTCAGTTCTCGGTCCCCTGAATACCTACAAGTCTGGGTTTTTTATGTATGCATGATTTGGGCACCTAATACTTTGTGCCAAATTGCAACTTTTGACATGTACTCCTTCATACCTCACAGCAGGCAGTACAATTTTATAAACAAGACATAGTCTTGTCAATAAAAAACTAATAAAAATACTGAATAAATAATGAAAAAAATTACCACTTGTACAGAAAATCTGAGGAACTGGCTATGTCCTTTTCTTTGCTAACAATAAAAAATACTTTTTATAAACAAAAGAATACTTTTTTCAAACAACATGTGGGGATATTGTTCACAGATAATAACAATAATAGTAACACACCCCACCATCAAAAGTCCTTAGCATAATCACTAATCACACATAATGGTATCCCCATTACCATTGACCGACTGCGCAACATTTATTGATCTGTTGCATTGTAATCGGCAGCATAAGTTTTTATTTCTATTTTTGCATTTTGAAATGTATAATAAAGTTTGTGATTGTTGCAAGGAACATTTTTTACCTAATAATTTTTTAATACTATTAATTTGTGATATATATTTATAATATATTATTTTTATCTGCCATAATAACTAACTTTTTTCTGTACCCCTAAACAATCTATTGTGTACCCCCAGGGGTACACATACCCTGGGTTGGAAATCACTGGCTTAGAATATTGTTCTGCAACCTTTTTCTACTCGCGGCACACCTATGAGTCGACATGACTCAACATGGCATACCAAAATGTTATTCCCCTCAAAAACATATGATATGATACTATTAATAAAATTTCGTAATGCCATAAACCTATTATTGTTATTATGTTGAATTTTGTGAGTTACACTCGGTTGACACTGATGGCTGTGTACTATGCCAGACCAGAGTCAAGGCATACTAACTTCAAAACAAGACAAAAATTAAATAAGTGTGTCAGTGTGTGTCTGTATTCAGAAATTTCCTAACAATATGACATGTATTCAATATAGTGGCCTTCTGTAGTGTGATGTATGTGTTTCTATTCAATTTTATTGTTCCCAGGCTTTTGTGTAGCATGTATGGTATGACACTCTGTATGGTGTAGCGTATGTAGCATGTATGGTATGGACGTTCTGTAGAGGAGAGAACGACATATGGAGGATAAGCACCTTATCCTCCACAGATGCCTTATTTTCTAGGGGAGTTCTGTGTACTTGCTAATTTTTTCACTTCATGTGTTTTGTACATTGTGAGTGTTTGAAACAGATATGTCTATAATGTATGTGATTTAATTGTGTTTGTCAATGAGTGTGATGTCTGGTCTGTTGTGGTAAATTGTTTTATCTGTGATTATGGCTGTTGTAGTACATTTTGTGTGTGTTGTTTTCCAATACTGTCTGTGGAATGTATTTGTAGTATGGTTCGTGGATGTCTAATAATTTGTGTTTCTTTGCAAGCTTTTGATGTATATGCTACTTGATTATGTCTATGTAAATTATCTGTCTGTGCCAACAGCTTGCAACCAGAAGTGATGTGTTGTATAGTTTTTGGCATGATGTGACATTTTCTGCATCTGTCGTTTGTGATTGTTGAATCTTTGAATATGTGTTTTCTGTAGTTTTTAGTATTTATGACCCGATCTTGTATGGAAATCATGAATCCTTCAGTCTCCCCAAAGAGGCATCTGCAAGCTAACCAGCTGATTGATGCAGTTTTTAGAACACAATCCTGGACCAGGTCATAGGGATGTCTGCCATGGAATGCCTTTCTCACCCATTATTGCTTAATGGTGTCTATACTATTTATATGTTGTGTCGTGTCCATATGATGCGAGTTTAAGTTTAATGGTGTGTTATTTGAGTCTGCTAGAGTTACTGCTTTATGTAACTGTGATGTTTCTTGTTTATTGTAGAAAAACTCTCGCAATGTCTGTATTTGTTTGTAGTGGAGGTTAACTATGTCAATCAAGCCATGTCTGCCATCTTTACATGGAAGGATTAATCTTTCTATGGCAGATTTAGGATGATGTTGTTTATGCTTAGTAAGTGTTGTTCTTGTTTTCATTTGGAGTTGCTCAAGATCTGTGTGAGTCCAATGTATAACTCAAAAAGAGTAAGTGAGTACTGGGATGACATATGCGTTTATTGCTTTAACATCATCTTATTCCATTAGTGAATGAAATACAAGCATAAGAAACACAAAAAATATGATGAAAATATATAAATAAAACTTGAAATTAATAGAATATGTAAAAGTTCACGTCAGATTTTTCACCTTGTGATGGCACACCAGTTGCAGAACACTTAGAGAATATGTGCACATTCACTATAATGATTTTTTTAATTTGATAGTACTTGTTATCTAAGTGATAAAATGCAGTAGTTTTCTTATATTTAAAATTGCATTCTGTGCTTCAAAGGAAAGTGTAAATTGAAACTTTATATTATATGCATACATTTATTAGATTGAAAAATATGAATAAATTCCTTTTATTTTGCCTCACTGTCTGATTGAAAAATATGAATAAATTCCTTTTATTTTGCCTCACTGTCTGATTACTTTTAATGCTAATCTGTCCATATTCTGCTTTCAACTGTTATGATAACCCTATTATTTGACACATTAAAATGATGCAAAAGGGTAGGAATAGACATTAGATGATACAAGAGGATTTGTCAATAAAACAAATTTGAACTGAGTGTGAAGCTCTGGAAATAGGTCAAAATTCATGCACAGAAAATGTTTTAATTTCGTATAGAAAAAAATTTTTATAATTATAATTATTATTCTTATAATATTGTAAAAAGCAACCGTCAAACGCAAAATGAATATTTTATGTCCATATAAGAACATATCTGTAAAAATTTCTAAGAAAGTCGAACTACTCAGGTTAAAACAATGGATGAATTTGAGTACTTAGATCGAACATCTTTGATATGAATCAAATTGTCAGTCGGAGTTGACTCACCCCACGATCTGGGCACTGATCTCGTTACAATTCGTAATGAGAAGGGAGACCAATTAGAGAGCGGGGGCAGATCGGCATTGACCTATCGGAATGTTCGATCTGGGACTCAGAAAAAACTTATAAAAACCATGCAAAAAAAGATGTAACGTTCTTGGTTCGTAGTTCTTTGGTTCGGTGCTCCTCCCCAGGATTCTTGTGATCTGGACATTCTACCACGAGAACTTGTTAGATATTCGGAGGACTTGTCTTCACCCTCCCATGCCATCAAGACCGCTAAAGTCCACCTTGTAGATAGAAGACCTTGGTTCAAATAGTATTGTGCAGCCCGGAGTCGATGTCTTCACACCTCCATCACCGGAAGAAAAACTGTCGTCAGAACAGTTAAACTTTTAGTGTTACGAACTTGTTGCTCAACTTTGAATAGGTGTTACGCCGTTTTAAGGATTTGTTGTAAGAAAAATTTTTATATTTATTAAACGGTATACGATAGAGAACCTGTCTCAGTAAGTTTTTTCACTCCCACACGACAGCGCTGACCACTCGACTGTCGCGACGCTTTCTCCCCAAGTGGCAAACCTCACACTGGTTTCCGAGAAGTGGGATTTTAAGTCCCCAATCTCCACCGGGTCAACGACTTCACATGAGTCATCATTGTTGCTGTTCGTAGTGTTTCTTATGAAGTGAATATCTCAAATAAAGAAAAGATTAAATTAGTTAACACATATCTTTCTTGCACTATGTCTTAAGAGAAACTCTCCCTGAGACTTTGTCTCTTATTTAGTACAGAATATCTTGGGTTACAGGCATTCTCTGAATAGTTATGACATCTATCATTCATTACCACTTCCTAATTTCTAACAAGTTTCATAATGGACATCAATAGTTGAATTGTAACATAATTAATTAACAAGACTTTTTATCCAAATAATACTTATCATCTAAAATAACAGAAATCATTCAAAAAATATAAAACATAATACAATAATTTAACAATAGAGGATCAAATTGACACTGCTTTTATTGCTTGATACTACCATAAATTATAACAGTTATAAAAGTTTAATTAGAGAGTTAATTTGAGAAATTATACATTAACTTTTATTATCTTGATTTATCAGTAAAAAGACTGATGTAAAGGATAATTCTTTTACAGTGTTCTTAATAGCTTCATTTAGAATGTTGCTTCTCAAATTAAATCAAAATCAAATTTTGCATTAAATTATATATTTCATACTTCTTTTGGAAAATATATTTTCTTATATTTTATTTTTATTAAAAATTTATATCTTCATTTCAATGTGGGCCTGAATAATTGAAAACAAACAAGTTCTTTCTAGGCTTGGAGGATTTAATAATTTAGATGCATCATTATTTTCTAGCATCTGATAGATCAGCATCTCTTTTAATCCAAATAGAATTATAAGCCCTTAAAATTCTGACATGAAGTCTTATTCACTGAATAGCCACAGATGCATGTAGAGAACATTAATGGATTTCTACTGTGCATTGCAGTTATGGTAATATCTCTGTTTTGTATGATTTTTTGTTCTTTTTACTTAATTAAACTTTAGTTATGGCTTTTAAAATAAATGCAAATGTCAATGATATAAAACATAAACACCAGACCAAATTTAATATATATATTTAAGTTAAGGTTCTAATATTCTGTAGTATTGTAGAAACATAGAGGCATACACTGTAATTAGTGATCCAGAATGTATTTTTGATCTCAGTTGCTCTAACAAAATCATTAATTCAGCAAGGTTTTGGAACCAGGAATGCTAGAAAATTGGTGGTGGATCTGTATTATATATTATTTCCTAATCATCATGATAATGAAGCCAATGAGAAATTATGATAATTTATAATTTATTATCATAAGTTTAAAATTTCATAATTATAAAAATATAAGGGATGATTACTATAAAATATCAACTAAAAATACATACCACAACCATTTTCATCAGAGCCATCACGACAATCAACATCACGATCGCATTTCCAAGCAATAGATATACATTCACCATTTGAACATTGAAATTCATTATTAGCACATGGTCTTGTAGCTTAAATAAAATATTTATTTTTTTAATTCTTAATATTAAATTTTAGAATATTTTAAAATATTTATTTATATTATACAAATTAAAGAAACAAGATATTTTTATGTTTTCTATTAAAAGTGAGTATTTTTTATAATGATATTAAATATTTAGTATGTCAATACATAATTTATATTATTAATGAATATTTTAATTGTATCAGTTAATGTAAATTACCAAAATTACAATAATTTTATCATTGATATTACCTAATATGAATTATTAATTATAGTTATTTTATATTGTATCTGTTATTTAGGGGTATAACTATTAAATGGGTGTTTTATTTCATGCAAAAGCAAAAAATACTAATCATTATTTTTTCTATGAAAATATTTAGTCATGATATCTGTAAATGAAAAAAATAAACTTAAATAAAGAGATACAGATAAACAGAACATTCTGAAAATGTGTTATTCTAATACAGTGGCACCCAAAATTTTCAGTTGTCAACCAAATTCAGCATAAGTTGTAAATAGGTAGGCCATAAATATTTTGTATATTCAATAAATACCAAAAGTAGGCCTATTTCCATAATTTATAAGTGTTATGTCAATTATGTTTGTGAGACAGATTAATGGGTGCCATGGGAACCATAACCAGAGCAGTGATGTCCAAAATTAAAGTCCTCTAGCCATACCTCTAACCATATTTGGTTAGTGGCTACAGTGTGAACACCACTGCACTAATATGTTCAATCTTGATTTAGACTAATAATAAATATTATAGGCTAATGTATTCCAATTTTATAGATTATTTGCCCTTTTAATATTTGTTTTATTATTCATATTAATCTAATTTACAAAATTATGAAATAAAGATAAACATACGACAGTCTTCATCACTATTATCTCCACAATCATTATGTCCATCACACTGCCATAAATCATTGATGCACCTTCCATTTTTACATTGAAATTCCTCTTTGGTACAATTTCTAGGAGCTGTAAAAATATTTTACGTATATAAAGTTGTAGCATTTTTGTGATACATAAATAAAAAATATTTAAATACTATTAATAAAAATCTGAAAAGTTAACAACATTGAAATCTCAAATGTAAGTATATATTTCTATAATTACTCTGATGTAATTAAAAGTGGCAAATATATTAGTTTCATAATAATCATTCCTATATTCATGCTCTTCTAATCAATGAATTTCAATCTTTTTTTGATTTATTTTATTTTATTTTATTATTTTTTAACCAAAACCCTAACCAGCTTACTTTGGCAAGTATATATCTACTCTCATATACCAATAATTTACTTAAACTTTATTTAAAGTATTCAGTATATGGAATCTTGCAACAGCTTGTTGCAATCAGGACAGAGGACATAGAGGCAAACAACTTGTATTTTTATAAGGAGATTCATTATTTCTTTAAAACAATGTTTATATTTTAATATTTTTATCATTACTTTTTAATTTTATCTATTTCTATTGTTTATGTAGTAAACATGTTAATTTCATAAAAATATAAACATCCAAATCCAATAGTTATATATTAATTAGTCAAACGATTGTCGAAATATATCGGACTATGTTATTACTTACTACTACTACCACCATGTATTAGTAACATAGCCCGATATAATTCGGCAATCGTTTGGCGTTAATTTCATTATATGAATTATAAAAATTGGCTACTCATGGATCCATCTCTGGTTGCAACATTCTGCATTGTCCTTAAAGCAAAACTGAAAACCCGTTCTAATAAATCATATGATCAAGCTTGTCAAGATGACTTGAATCCCGCATGGACTTTGCATAATAAAATTTTACCCAAAACCAAAAGAAAAAGTCAAATTTTATATTTAAGATTATATCACATTTAACTAGTGTTGCCACTTTTCAAAATCGCTGACCCGGACGGCAGGTCAGGTTTGTTCAAACAGAAGTTCCTGACGCATACGTAATGTCATTTTACAATGCGAAGAATAACGTGCTAGATTAGCCCGTAGACGTGTACGATCGTATATGCGGAAAAAAAAAAATCGACAGGTTGCGCGCCACACGTAAACAGACGAACATGGCACAATTGCAGATGAGTTTCAGTGAGTGTGAGTTCTTTCGCTATTAAAATAGTGTAAATTTGTAAAAATATTTCCAAGAACTTTGTTTCATCGTAATTTCACAATTTCTACGAAATTCCCAGACAAAATTAATAGTTCACCGGCACAGTGAGTCAATTCCCGGACTGTCCGGGTGAAAGCCGGACGGGTGGTAACACTACATTTAACTTACTATCAAAATCAGTGCAAACTCGGGACAAGAGACAGAAACACGTTGTATCGTAAGTTACGATAAAATTCCTAATAATTCCTAATATTAAGGTTTCTAAAAATCTGCCGGAAACAGTCATTGAATCCCGAGTCTGGGCGTCTGCAGAAAATCTTCCAGGGGTGGACAAAGCCCGGACAAATAAATTTTTATTTAATTCATTAATAAATCAATAAATTTTTATTTAATTGCTTAATTTTGGAGTTTCACAAGTAGCTTATAAAATACAGTGTTGCATCAAAACATTCGATGATCGAGAGTGTAAAGTTATAAAGGTAACCCCCGTATAACACGGGAGTTACGTTCCAAAAAATTGCCGTGTTATGCGAATCCGTGTTATACGAAACAAAGAACTAGTACGAAAAGGAGGGTTAGGTTCCAAAAATTAAAAAAACATGCTATTATATTTTCATAATTAAGATAAATATCTTTATTAAAATACGTAAGTAACGTTTATCTGTCACGAAAATAAAAAAAGAGGGAAAAATAGAAACGGCAACACTGGAAATCGATAAATCATCGCGAAAGTTTTGAATAAGTGGGCGAAGCCATGTATCATGAATAAATATAAAATAGTAATCTGTTAAGAATTTTCAAATCGACTGTAAAATTTAAATACAAGTAAATATTTTTTGAAAAAAAAAATTAACCGCTCCAGCAATTTTCCACGTGTCCAGCCTCTATGTTCGTCTTTGAATAACATTAATTTAATTCCTGCTAGTACAATTCGGCAAAATTATCGAATTTTTATTTTTTGTAAATTTATTACAAATTTATTACAATTAAAAAAAGTTTAATGCAAATAAAAACTGATTATAAAATGACTTTTCTTCTTCTTATTATTATTATTATACACATATTACCCTAAATTCCACATTTTATGGAACTAAAAACATACTTACTTGTTAACATATTATGATTCATTAAAAAAATAACGACTTCTACAGTTTTATAAAAATCAGAAACCCTAAAATTTTGAAATATTTTGATTTCGATTTCGTAAATAAAAAATTTAGTTCCAAAACTTTCTGATAGGAGGAAGTTATTGCTAATGTCGCTGCAATTTGTATAATATGTAAGTTTTGGAACAACTTTATGATTTATAAAATCGTGTTCGTGTGGATTAGAGAGAAGCCATCGTACTTACCTGATTGCACATTACTCGTTAAACTTTACTATCAAAGAAACAACAATACTAGTGCTGCAACCAATTTTAAAGTCCTATCGAACAGGTTCTCTGGCCGTTGCAAATCTCAGAAAAGTGATTTTGCGTTTTGAGGAAACGAGAACTTTCAATGTGAAACCAGGAAACGGTTGCAAACCAATGAAATTGGCGAAAATAAAGGAAATTTCAATCTCCTTAGTCTAGAAAATGGATAATCCCCGAGATAGCTGCAGTGCGCCTGCTATATCACGGCGATCGGACGTGTCTTACCTTATAGTGCATAAAATTTTACGCGATTAATGCAGTTTTATTCCTACATGATCTATTTCTCATAGTAACGAATTGCTTTCTGGTGATTATGCTTTGTGTAAATCATTTGTTATGTCTCTCTTAATCCAAATGATGATCGATTATTCATGGCCCTGGCAAATTCTATGAATCAATTGAACATAATTTTTATTTGAATGCTATGATGAAAACACAACTGCTATGTTTGGTCTGGAGAAAACCCACATGTTGACGAGGCAAACATCTTTGCATTAATCAAAAATCACAGTATGGTTTGAGGATTTACGGCATCCTTCATCTTTGGACCATCTTTTTTGAGGAAGACTGCATTTGGATCAGTGACTTGTTCTGTTAATGCCAATAGGTATGGAAACATGCTTCATAACTGTTATTCGCGCATTTAAGTAATAAGATTTTTTGAATACAACAATCTTTATGCAAGATGAAGCAAATTCTCATATCGGAGTCAATGTGCGAAAGTTATTGCCTCAGAATCTTACAACTGCGTCAAAATCCATTACGTTCTGCTTTCGAATGCATGCTTTAAGAACGGGGAGGCTAAGGAAATGCACAATAAGACCGTTCGTCTGATTTATTGGTTAATTGAACATTTCCATCTGTGCAATTTTACATGTGTAAAATTACCGTGTTACTGTAACTTATACAAGAGTTGCACTCACGAACTCTGTAATCGCTACACTGAACTGCAACAAGTGTTGTATCCTATTATCAGCATTGCATCAATTTCTTTGACAGCATCGATATTAGTTGCCAAATTTCTTCCTGTCAAGAAATTTTGTAATTACGCTTTTTTTTTGAGAAATTGAAATTCCACGGTCAGGGAAGGTCCCATGGCCCCACATCCTACAGAGGGGCTCCCAGACCAGGATCATTTGGCATTTGGTACATTAATTTTATCTAACAGAGCTCTAAACACCTGTTTAATTATTATATAATCACCCTGCATTTTTTATTCAAAACTTCTAAGACGTTATCGAATGCCAAAAAATTTTACCGAAGTCCTCATATTGGAAATAAAAAGTGCTTAAAGAATGCCGTACGAAAGAATCTCATTCCGTATGATTTCACATTCTTTTACAAAATCTTTTACTTTATCCAATTCGTTTGAACTTTATCTTGTAAATTCTACATTTTTGTCGCTAAAAACATGCAATGAACATCGGACGATTTTCGTTCAATACCTGGATAATGCAGTTTGCTGTTTTATTAATTTTATCAATATCTGAATCCATTTCATTCTTTCTTCTTCTTACCTCATCTATGAAGCGTTTTAATTCTAAGGAAATAAATTTTGTCTTTTTTCTCATATATTGTGAACACTTCAGAAGTGACAAATTTCTGAAAAACTTTCTAAAATATTCTTTTCGTTTCTATTTCCATCTTGCGAACACTAAGATGGTCATTTTGATCATACTCATCCGATGGTGGTGTGGCCGACAGATTAAGGTGGATTCCTACAGCTCTGAAAGGACTTAGGAACAAACCCGGATGGGTAAAAAAGAACCCAGGAATTTTTCGCAAATATGTCGGCTGGCATCCCTGAATTAGTATCGTGAATCTGGCCAAGCCCAATAATGGGCTTTCTGAAAGGTCTTTTCGGCGTCCACAGGGCGAACAAAGACCTATTCCCACATCACATCATCGTATTAGAGACAGCCTGAGTTTTCTGACTGATTAAAAAAATTTATTTTTGAATAATTATAATTATTTCGAAAATTGGGGTGTAAACTGATAACATAAATTTGAAAACAGAATATTTTTGTCAAATTCAGTAAATTTATTCTATTCAACAGTTATAAATAATTTTAAAACAATATGAAGTGATAAATTTTATACTTTAATTCACTAAAATCCAGGGCTGTGGAGTCGGAGTCGTGGAGTTTTGGTATTTTAGCCGGAGCCGGAGTTGAAGTCGTCAAAAAATTCGCCGACTCCGGCTCCTTTTTACTTACCAACTTGTTATGTATATAAAAAAAGTATTGGAATCGTATCAAATTTGACCCTTCAAGTTTCTTTTTACAAATCTACAGGTTTGGAGACCTCCCGAACCCCTCAAAAAAGTCAATAAAAGGGGAAAAATTGTGTGTGTGTGTGTTGGCGTCTAATTTGTTTAATTTCTTTATTTTTTGTTCTGAGATATTAAACAATATCTCAGAATGGGTTTAAGAAACGAAATGTGGCACTGTAG